ACGTATTAATTCATGTTTCAAATTCATTATTCACTTGAACAGGTCGAATGTTTGATTAAACTCGTTTTAAAAAGTTTTAAAAAAATTAGAAATAATCAACATGACTAATATTTATAACGAATTACATGATGAAAAACTGATCACATATATTAAATGAAACTATAGCTCTATAAATTGAAAAGTAAGTAAGTTATAAAGGCTTATAATCTTTAGCTTATTTCATCTGTTGTTTATTAATCTGATAAGAATGATTAGGCATTTATTGTTAGCAAATTTACAATTCCCTTTTGTTATAAATAAAGAGTTGGTAATACTACTGTTTTAAGCTTTTGTTATAAATAAAGAATTGATAATACTACTGTTTTAAGCTTATATCAAAATTAAGCATAGTGATATAATTATCATTTTTTTTTGGAAAAAAAAAATGAATTCCAAAAAATTATTGGCTAAATGCACCTGAAAAGTCACCAATTAGTAATTAAAATTTATAGATTAGTAGTTTTTTCCTTTTTTTTTATCACAGCAATTAGACTGGGAAACTTAACACGAACAAACAATCTAGAAGCATCCTACTGGTCAATCGCTAATGTCAACAATGGGCAGATTGGTAATCATAATTAACCCAGCAGTAAAAATCAAATATATCAATGATATAACATCCCTCCAATATAATTCACAATTAATATTGATCATTTCGTTGTACTTATGCAAATTATCTGTTGATATTTCTCATCATCAATGCTCTAAGCGCTAATAAGCAGCAATGATTAGTGAACTGTTTGTTGATTAAATTAACAAATTAACAAATTGCTATAATAAGCCTTAACATTTTGCAATTCTTTCAAGCTTACAATATGATAGTGTTGAAAATGCAAATAAATTAGTCTACAAATATTAGGCTTTCAACTTATTTTTGTTTTTTATTGTTATATAATTATCTTGTTAATGGCATTCATTAAATAACATGAAAATATGAGCAACAAATTAAATTAAATTGAAAAAGAAGGAAGGATTGCATGAAATTTTAAAGGATGAGTAAATTATTATTGCATAAGTCAATAAGTTAATTATTGCACAAGTTAATAAGTTAATTATTGCATAAGCTAATAAGTTAATTATTGTATAAGTTAATAGGTTAATTATCACATAAGTTAATAAGTTAATTATTGCATAAGTTAATAAGTTAATTATTGCATAAGTTAATAAGTTAATTGTTGCATAAGTTAATAAGTTAATTGTTGCATAAGTTATTAAGTTACTTATTGCGTTACTTATTATTAAGTTACTCATTGCATAAATTACTAAATTACTTATTGCATAAGTTACTATAAGTTATTATGTTGTTTTTATTTTCCCTTTTAATACAAGAGGTTAAGTTTGAATAATAATAATACATTTTCGTCTGTTTTATTAATACAACTCTTTATTTTAATTAAAACTTAAAGCTTATAAAAAAGTTCACAAATTCATATCAAAATTTCGATAACTGAAACGTGGAGCTATTAACAAAAAAAAGGTAGCAACACCGGTGAGGAAAAAAATACAACAAAAAAAGAATCGATCAAAGATAGTTGAAATATGATTCCATTCCCTAACCAATTCGTCGTGATCATTTTCATTTTCGATTCTTTCCATCTAAAAAAAAAAAAAAAAAAAGATTCAAATTTAAAATTATAAAATGATAGTTAACTATTATCAAAAACATATTAACTTCATAAATAAAAAGTTTCATCAAGATTGATTTCACTTCATGATGAATGATGTAATGATACGTAAAACATTATCATACATGTAAATGAAATTATCCTGGAGGATGGATTATTTCTTTTTTCATGAAACAAAAAAAAAAAAAAAAATATTTTAGATTTCGAAAAATTTCGAAAAAAAACATTTTAGATTTTTTTTTTAAAAAAAACATTTCAGATTAAAAAAAACATTAAACATTTTAGATAAAAAACATTTTAGATAGAATTGTTTAAATAGAAAGGGATCAATAATCAATAAATGGATAATTGATATTATTAAGAGATCGAATTCGTTTTCATATATAATAATTTATATTTTAGTTACAAAAATTTATAAGAAATATTTTTTTTTTGAATTATATTACTATAATTTCGCTCATCAAATCTTTTCTGCTTCGTCTATATTCCATTTTTTGGCGTATTTTTGGTGTTTTTTTGCCAAATAAGCGTCCAAGAATTCGATATGCAATAAAATTTAACCAATATGGTGGCCTAAATGTAATATATTTGAAAGATTTATAAAAATTTCAAATTTTATTCAAGGCAAAAAAAAAAATTTTTGATTAAAAACTTTTAATGATAAAAAAATGAATGAATTGATTGAAAAACCTGCAATTTCGTTCAGCACTATGCCTCATATTAAGAACGATAACTGATAGAGAAACACTAAGACCCGAAATTGCCATTATACCCATCAAATATATTGCTAAAATTAGCATTTTTAAAAATGAAAAAAAAAAGATTAATATAAAAATGATTATTTATCAAAAAGTAAATATTGCAAATATCAATAATGAGAAATACATTTACTCTTATTGCTCGATCTAAATATAAGACCTAAGTCAAAAAAAAAAAAAATCAGATTTTAAGCCTAAAAAATATTTGATGAAAAACCCTTGATACTAATACAATTTATGAAAGGCTTTAATTAGTAAGTATATTAGCATTGCAGATTGAAATTTCATAAATTATCATCAAATCACTAAATAAACTTATCATTAATAAACAAACTTATCATTGGACAGTTTATGGTGGATATTTTTTAAAATTTCATCTAACAATGATTCTTATAAAAAAAATTCAAAAAAAAAAAAAAGCAAAACAAAAAATCCATCGGATAACTTCATTCTTTTACTTCTACTAAACAAACTTATCATTCGATAGATTATAATGGATATTTTTTGAAATTTCATCTAACATTATTATAAAATTCTTATGAAATTATTATAAAATATGAAATCATTATTATCTTATAAAATTATTATAAAAATTATTATAAAATTTTTATGAAAAAATTCAAAAAAAAAAAATTGATCGGATAATTTCATTCCTTTACTTCATTCATTTCCTCATTCATTTGCTAATCGTTATTTAAAATTTTATAATAATTATCAAACAGAAGTTTATCATGCTTATAGTATGTATGAATAAATATAAATTGTTAATGTTTTTCAATATATTTTCTTTTTAATTCTTGTAGCATTAATTAAATAATTTTTGTGATATTATTTCAAAAATAATGACAAATAATTATACAACAATATATTTGTCAATATTAACAACAATTCATTTACCAATAAGAGGGATAACATCTGATGTTTCCGGCATATTTTCAGCAATATTAAAACTAAAAACGGAATAAGCCAATAGTACGGTTAAACCAAGTGTAATTTTTTCACCACTTTCACATGGTAATAAGAATTGCATCATTGTTAGTATCTAAAAATAAATTCTTTAATAATAAAAATCGCTTTAATTAATTATAATTAAGTAAATAATGAGTATGTGCTGAAAGCTCGAAATAAACCATTATTGTAAATTTGATATTACCGACTATAACATACTGTATTTGTTGATATACTGTGTCAACTAAAAATTCTGTTTTTGTATGCTCTAACAAAGAGCATCATTCCAGATGGGCTAACGGTAATTCTTGTAATTTCAAGACTGTACCAGAATTCTCTCTACTCGAGGAAGCAAAGAGTTAGAGGTCACCAAAAGCATTTTATAAAGGTATATGTTTCAACGAGGTCAATTTGAATAGATGATATCAAGCACATCATTAGCTTTCTTTTTCATATTTTTATTGTCATTAATTTGTCTTATTAAAAATTGTAATCGTTAAGTTCGTTACTGGATTTACAAACTTATCGTAATAAATGTTTAATTATCTAAATTCGAGTAATTATTAACCAAAGATACAGAAATAACTGCCAATCATTGTTACAGCTAAAGAAAATTATCGACAGGATGAATTACTGAAAGAATAAATGGTAAAATTTCATTTTAAAAATAATAATGGCATAATTGGAAGTACAGTATGCTTCTTTTTTTTTTTCTCTATGCATGTTCTTGCATTATGTAATTATCGTGGATATCAAATCGATTACGGTGTATTTTGAATTAGTTTTATTTTATAAAACTTACAGAAAGCATGAAACATGGTGCAATAATATTATAAATAAAATATAGCACCCGTCGTCGTAAATGCAATTCGAATACAATTGTTGAAAAGGTTGTTTGCCGACCACGAAGTACCTAAAATTGTATTTTAGTACAATTTTATAATCATTCTTATGAATTATTTTTGGTACAATATTTCTTTAATATTAAACTTTGAAAAGTTTCAATTCTTCGAACCAGTCATAAGAATATCAAGGTAAGATAAATTGGTTCAAACACTCTTCGAAGTAATCATAAGAATATTAAGGTAAGATAAATTGGTTCAAACACTCTTCGAACTAATCATAAGAATACCAAGGTAAGTTAAATTGGTTCAAACACTCTTCGAACTAATCATAAGAATATCAAGGTAAGTTAAATTGGTTCAAACACTCTTCGAAGTAATCATAAGAATATTAAGTTAAGTTAAATTGGTTCAAACTAATTACCAATCAGTTCTCATCTTGTTAATGCTTATTGTGAGTAATCGCTGGTATCTGATGATATCAATGCATCTGGTGACATTTTGACGTTCGTGTGCTACATTTACTTATGGTTATAATAACATACAGTATATGATGTAAAAACAATACCTTACGAGTACGATTTGCAACAATTTCCCATTCACCATTTTCAATATAGGAATCACGCGTGAACGGATTTTTACCATCGTATCGTTCCATAATTTGTACGTCTAATTGTGATTGATCGTATATCCCTAATTTACAGTAATTTGAGGAAGAGTATGTAATATAATTATTAAATTGCAGAAATTAGGTCAACGTTAGGTCACGTTAAAAGAATTTCTAGTTACGCTGGAGTATCACTTTCGTAACTTTATATTTCTTTTGCACATTTATTTATTGAAAACGTATGAAACACTCTTATCATGCAGGCATATCAAACATGCAGTTATGTGCTACCGTAATTGCGAATTCTAAACATTTTAATAAATCGCATCTTCAACAGGATACTGTAATTAAATTTTGTTAATATTAGTATCATTATAAGTTCATTTACTTTAATTGAATTAGCTGCATAAATTTATCATTTCATGAATTGAATTTAGTCATTTTGATGACATTTATTTTAATTGCTACCTAAAGTCATTTATTAATTGTCATCTTCAATTGTCAAAATCATGAAATAGCCTAAAAAAACCTAGATTAATTGTGGCAATTAAAATAGTTTTAAACTTGAAATTGATGAAAATTTACATGAGCCAAATTCAAGGAAGCAGAATTGATCATCGAATGGGAAATATCTAACATCCAATTTACATATTGAAAAAACCTTTGCTGGTGGTGCCCATTGTGCTTCAAATTTATATCAAATAAATCACTGATTATCATTTAATTAAAAATATTTGTTGCTTCAATGAGATTATTTAATTGATTAATGGAAATCAAATCAGGTAATAAATTTAACATCACTAGTTTTGACAGTTAGTAAACGTACTCCACGTATGTTTACTTCTTTGAGAACTGTGTCAACAATTATGCAAATTAATAGCATAATTATACGTTCTAATCCAATACTTACCTCCGAAGATTAAATTACTCCATAAATTTAGAAATTTGACTTTCACAAAAAAGTAGTAATTTTGCAAATTTAAATTCCAAATGGCTTGCATATTCATTTTGTTATATTAAACTTACTATCACCGTTGCTTAAAATATGAAGATTGGTGTCAACAAAACCACGTGAAAAATCTCCTGCACTAAAACAAATAAAAATTATAAAATTGTAGTTTTCATAAAACATCAAACAAAAAATTTTTTAATTATTCAAAATTTTAAAATTTTTAAAAATCATTTTAATTTTACTTTACAATCCCCTGTTTCTGATAAATATCTCAGTTTAACTGTAAAAGAAATAAGAAATCAAAATTTATATATATGAAAGTTGAAATTTAAATAAAATCAGTAAGAAAATTTGATGGTAAAAGTCAAATATTAATTGATGACTTATTATAAAGGACAATATCCGGTGTCCACAAATACTTTTTGCCCACTGTTAATTTGCTAATATTGCCAAATTCTGCTGGATTCCAATGAATCCTTTCGTCACGCCAACTTTGTTCCACCCAAACATTTACTGTCAATACTTGATTCCTTTCATCCTTTAAAACAATAAAATTTATTCATACTGAAAAAATTTAAAAAAAAAAAAAGTAATTACAAAAAAAAAAAAAATTATTTTTCTTTGCTCATTATTTCATTTTGCAATTGTTCGAATCTTTTCCTTTCACTCTATGCGAGACAATTTTAAAATTCATTTTTATAACAAAACAAAAACTGGAATCGATCGTCAAAAGATGACAAATGAAATCCCAAGATAATTGAGTAAAAATGAAAAACGACGTGAAATGATTTTTGAAGGGTAAAAATGAAATTTTGTTTGGTTTGGTTCAAAACAAATTGAATTATTTCTTTCTTTTTTTTTCTCTTTCTTCAAATGAAACAAAATGATAAATTGGCAACGACAATCCATTTCAAATAGTTTAGGCCTAAAAAAAAAGCAATTGTCAAAGTTTGATTTCACTTTTCCTCTATTCAAATATTTGCTTTCTTTTTTTTTTTCAAACAATATATCCATTTTTCGCAAGCCTTTTTTTTCTTTTTTTGTTTGCTTGGCAATATAATTTGAGAGCTGAAAATTTTTAAGAAATATATGGGAAAAAATAAACTAAATAAGGAATGAAAGATTGAAATTGGCTACAAATATTTGCATTTCGTCAAAATTTTACAATAAATTATTTGCTGCAAAAATGTTCAAATTCAAATTGTATTTGGCAAAACTTAAATTTAGCAAATATTTCAAAAAAATATAATTTATATTTATTTGCGTGAAAAATTTGTTTATAATGAAAATTAATGGAAATTGCAAATGTATTCGTAAAAATTACCAATTATTTGTTGCATTTCTATTTTGTCAATTTCTCAATCATACTTTTTTACATTACAACAAAATTTCATCATTCAAATAAAAAATCTTAAAGAAAAAAAAAATTGTAAAATATTACAATATTAAAAATATGGGTAAGTGTAAGACCCATATAAACATTTACAACAGTGCTAGCATTCCAAACTGGTCGTACGGAAGTATCATAATTCCGGATAATATGTTTGAATAAACGTTGCTCATCGTTCATCCCATGTTGTTTCAAATTAACATCTGAGATTACCTCATGATCCGGAATATTTGGTAATTCTACTGAAATTTCATTAAAAATGAATGAAATTTTTATGCTTTCTAAAACAAAAAAAAAAATAAGCAAAATATGTTAGTTTAATTATTTAAATTTACAAAAATTATTAAATGATTAAAATGTAATTATCACTTGTAATTATCGCATTAATTGATAGTAATATCAATATTTTTTTTTTGCTAATATCGAATTATGCAACTGTATAAATAAATGATTCATTAAACTGGGGAAGAGTAGTAGGAATAAATATATCACACTGATTTATTTTGTTAATTAAAGTAAATCATTAGCTCTCACTGCTTTTACCGTTATTATCAGTGAATATATGCTGATAAAGGTTGAAAATGATAAGGATTGGAAATGTATTACTGAGTTACAATGTGAATCGAATTAGTTTTATTATATTTCATATTGATTTCATTGTATATTAATTAATTACTTTCCTGTTAGCTTTATCAGTTTTGTTGATAGCTTAAGAAAAAGAAAAAAAACTTACTAGGAGCATTAGTTTGCGGAAGAAGAACGAAAATTGAAAGTAAAAACGTGATTGAATGAGTAATCGGATATCGAAAGTAATCGTAATGTTTTGCTTCTTGAAAAAATGGGCGAAAAAAATGAAGTAAAATGGTTGAAAATGGCAATTGAAACGCCCATTTCATCATTTTTAACTGAAATAATTTTATTGTTCTTTCTTGGCCTAGCCTAATCATTTATTGATTTATCAGGCTATTTAAAGTTGCTTTTTTTTTCCCAAAGTTAATAAACCAAGATGAAATATAACTCACTTTTCTTGTATATTTTAGCTATAGCCACTAATATTTAGAGTACAGTTTCTTTTTTTTTTTTTTTGTTCTTAAATCTTATTTTATACTTCAATATTCTTTATATAGATTTCAAATGAACGGAACTAGCAATCAAGATGATATTCAACTGGCGCAAATATAATTTTATCCTACATTTCAGTATCTTTTAGATGAATTGAACAAAGCTACACATCATATAGTTATGAAGATATTGAAATTAAAGTAAATGAAATTTCACACTATACTTTAAAGTATGCTAATATTTGAATTCCAAAAAGATGAAATTGGCAGTTAAAAAATATTGCTAAAAAAAAAAAGGATAAAGACAAAATTGGTTTCATATAAATTGTTTTTTATAAATCTTTTCTTTTCTAACAAAATTTCTAATGAATTTTAATTATTTCATTAAAATTTTTTTCAAATAAATATAAATGAAAAACGACATGAATAATTATTATGCAAATTAACCGATAATTTCAATTAGAAATTAAAAATGAACATTTCGAACCTTTTCTCTAAGCAGGTGATATATTATTTTGTATTTTAGCAAATATTGTCTTGCATATATCAATGAAATGTGTTGCTATTGAAAAAATAATTAATTAAATTTTATTTAAGTTGAAAGAAAAGCTTAAAGTATTGTAAAAAGGAATTGGCATTTTCCTTTTTGCATTTAATTTGATATAAAATTCAATAATGAAATTTACAATTTTCAATTCTAATTTACTCAACAAAAAATATTGTTTTTTTCAACTTTTCCATTTAAATTTTTGCAATAACTCTAAAATTGTCATAAATAGCAATTAGTTTTAAAAAACAAAACGGAACTAAGTGAAAAATTTATTTTGTTAAAAAGAAACGAAAATTGTTTCCCTTTTTTTTTTCTTTCATTTCTTTATACCATTTATGATTGCATTTTTAAAAATTTGAATTCATTTGAGAAAATTCATTTTAGAATCGTACAATTAAAAATAATGAAGCATTCATGAATAGAGCATTTAAAGGCTTGAAATTATTATAATTTGGTAGCTAATCTTTAACTTTTCTTCGGCTTTTTCTCTTTAACTTTTTTTTTTTTTTTTTGCAGAAATTGTTCAGAATAATTGCTTCAAAATGTTGAAGTTATAGTTTTCATTAAACTCACATACCTGCTATATAACGTCTAGGTTGTACAAAATGGTTGTCAAAGTTTAAAATTTCCAAAATTTCATTTTTGACGTTTTGTTTTCATTTTTTTTTCTTTTAAGATCTTAATTATATTCAAAAACGAAAAAAAAACAATGATAAAATTGAATATAAAATGATAATATTATTTGGCTCCATTGTTAATAACACACCAATCATATTGCTTCAAATAATTTCGTCGTTGTTATCACTTACTGCCACAAAGATTTATTTTAAAGATTTTAAAATTTTAAGTAAACAGCTGTCAATTTTTAAAGTACAATATTTAAATTTCATTCAAATAATACAGTATTTATAATACAGTATTTAAATTTCAAATAATATAGTATTTAAATTTCATTCAAATAATCTAATAATTAATCAATTATCTAATCTTTTCAACCAATATCACTATTATTAACCCATTTAAATGAATTACCATAAGTAATGCCGTTGCATCATATTTTCACAGAACTTTACAGAGTTTATTAATATTTATTTTACAATACAGTATTTTATTTGTTCGGTGCTAAAATACAGTAATCATTTTTTATGATTCGATTAAAATTTCTCCAATGGGCTATTGATTATTTATGTATAACGTATGGTCTGGACACACATTTGACAAATTTTAATTGCGTACATCATTAGTCGATACTATCTTTATTGTACCTTTTTTCTTCTTAATTATCCAATAATTTTACATTCCTTTGTTGACATTTGAATTTTTCAAAAATTATCCATTACTATCATATTTGCTTATTTTATTAATAAAATATAAATTATATTTTTAGATCAATTTAATTTTTTATGAAATGAAATTAGTTAAATTTCAATTCGATACATGTTATCGTTTCAATTCGAATGAAATGATAAACACAAATCGGGAATTAATCTAAATTCTAATCATTTAAAGAATTAAAATATGTAAGAGGAACGTAAGCATATGTAATATGGATATAAGTGAAAATAAATGTATATCATTGATGTGGAAATTGAAATAATGAAATAGAAATATAATTTTAATTAAATAAATATCAGTGGAAATAATATATATAAATGGTGGGAAAGATTTTTTTAAGCTTATTTTTATCTTTAAGATTAATTAGCATAAAGCTATCCATAGTATCATATTATAACTAATCATTCTTCTTTTTTCCTTGTTTTGTATGTTAATAGAATTAAAACTTCCAGCAGAACATGTACTGAATTGAATTGAAAGAATCTAAATTGAAATGTAAAAGACAAATGACAAGCCTTACAATATTAATTTTATATTAATTTATTTAATTTTACTTCAATGTTTGTTAAATTGACTTGTAAAATTGAAAATGTCAAATTTATACAAAAAGTATGTAAAATTTTCCAAATTTTTTTTTTCAATTCATTTGCTGAAACTTATTATAACGATGGAAAAAAAAATTTCAATCATAACTTCTGATCGAATTCTACTTCAACTGTTCAATCTTTATTCAAATATTAATTACCATTAGAGACAGAAATAAGGATGTATGCATAAAATTATATTCAACATTTTCCCAATTATTCCGACAAATTATTACCACTGTTATTCTCCAATAATTATGCTATCAAATTATTCGAAATCCTGATTAATCCGAAATTCAGTTGATCGTTTTCCAAAACGTATGTAATCATATGTTGCTGGACGAACTCTTCCACTTCGTCCAAATCGAATGAAATCATAATTTGTTCGTTTTGCTATAAAAGAAATTTTTTCTTTAAAAAAAAAAAACGAAAAAACTATATTATGAATTGAATTAATCAAACTTATTTTTTAACTACTTTAAAATCATTTGAAGAAAAAAAATTGAATTCTAAATTTTTTTTTCTAAAAGTATCGAATTTTAAAAATAAAATTTAAATGCACCTTTTATTGTTTCAGTTTCATATTTTGATGGCATTTTTGAAAAAAAAAAAATCCCTCCCGTATATAACTATAATGCAAAATTTTAAAAATATTGTTGAATTTTGATAGAATTAATTTCTTTCCAACTTTTGCAAAATTTGAAATGGTATTTGTTTAAAAAAAAAAAAGGAAATTATTCAAAACTTGAAAAGTGTATTCCCCGCCTAACATTGTCATTGATATGAGTCGTTAAACCATCGAATGGCTTAACTTTAATCAAAAAACTTCAAAATACATATAATGTTTTAATTCTTGTTTTACCGAATTGGAAAAGTTTTTAAAAAAACACAACAATGTTTCAGCATTATTCTTAAATCTTTAATTTCTTTAATTAAATTCTTTTTTTTCTTAAATATAGAAACTTTCTTGAAATTTGTAATTTTTAGCATTTACATATTTTGATATGAAGAAATTCGAAGAGAAGATGGGGACGAATTCATTGCATGTTAAAATTTTTGGATGCATTAGCATTTTTACCAAATCAAATTTTCGAAATTATATTTCTCTTCCGTAAATTTATCATTTCAGCATTTACCGAAATTTGAATTAACTTACAGAAATTGCATCAACAGTATCAATTAATTTAAGATGATTTCATTAATAAATTACTTTTATTTTAGTGGAAAATGTAAAAAAAAAAAAGACGAAAAAATGCTCCATAATAAGTTAAAACTCTAAACTAGAATTTTCACAAAACCTTTCCTCTATCAACTAAAGAAAAAAAAAATTGCAAGAATTTATTACGTCAAAATAGTAAAATAATATTTTAATATTTCAGGATTTTTGAAATTATATAATAAACTGCGTGACTTTTTTTTTTCCTGAAAAATAAAAATTATAAAATGTCAAGTAAAAAATGGAAAAATTTTTTAAGAAAAAAATAAAAAATAAACCTGAATTTGGTTCAAATTGACACAGTAAAAGTGGTGATTGTTGTTGACATAATTCATCATATTTTATTGGATTAGCAATCGAATAGTGAGAAATGACACAAAGAAAAATTGCAAATATTATTGTTAGCATGCTTTTTCGATGACCATTCATAGGATTGATTTTTTTTAGTCTGAAAATTACAAATTTTGAATAATTTTTTTTTCTTTTTTTCTTCTACAAATATCATTTCAGTTTTTACAAAAACTATTTCAAAAAAAAAAAGAAAGAAAAAAAAGTACAAAAAGATTGCTTGAATTATTAGCATCAAATATTATTCCATTAGCTTAATGTGATCAAAAATAAAACATGAAAGAAGAAAGCAAAGATTAACAATGATCATCAATGTTTGAGCCATTGAACTAATCTTTATCATTAAATTTTATTTTTATAATAATCAAAAATTACGGTAGATGAAATGAATTTTCAATATAAATTACACAATTTTAGTACATCTACAATAATCACAACGTTAAAAAAAAAAAAGTGATTCATTAATTGCTTATTAAATTGCTAACCAATTACCACATTTTATTCAATATTTTTTTTAAAAGAAAAAAACAAAGTACCATTTGTTATCTTTTCATCTCATATTTCCTTTTTTTTTCTTTCATTTTTATTACAAAATTAAAAAAGGAAACAAAAAAAAACAAAAAAACGAAAAAAGAATACATAACGAAAAACAAAGTACGTTTAGAATGAAAGAAAAAAAAAGACGAAAATTTGGAATTGAAATGAATTTGAAATAATTAAAAGACAAAAAGGTAAAACACATTGAATAACTTTAAACTATGCTTAAGCTTATAACGAAGTAGAATTATTAAAGATATTTGAAATGAATGCTGATCTAATTAAAAAGCACAATATTTTATTTTAAACTTATCACCTGCTTTTACCTTCCTTTTTTTTCTTTTTTTTTTTTGATTTCATTTCTTTTCCTTCAACATTATTCCCCCATTAATTTACATAATTAACTTTTTAAGTAAAAAAAAAAAAATCATTCCATATATATTTTTCGTTTTTTTTTTTCGTTGTGCTACCTACTAGTTGTTACAAATTATATGTGGTTTAATTTTTAATTTTCATCTTTCCTTTTTCTTTTTTCCACTCAAATATCAATATTTTACATTCATTTGTCTATTTTTCTTTCTTTCTCCCTTTTACTTTTCTTTTTCCC